AATATTTCAGTCTACCTAATTGACAGTTGGGTAACATTATATTAAATACTTTGATTTATATATATATTATGGATTAAATAAAGGTATAATTAATATTTTATAAATTGTTTATTAATTTATTTATTATATTATTATAATGATTAAAGGGATCTGTAAGCCTTCTTATGGTCTTGTATGTTCTTGGTTACAATGCAGAAAATCATTTAAATGTTGCGGAGTTTTTTACAGATGATGATTTTATGATTTCAGATGCATCAGAATTTAATTAAGATATCTACAAATTCATGAATTGAAATTGTTAATGATAATTAATAGTTAATATGTCGTTAATCGAAATTTATATACAATAAATACAGTAAATACTTTATGATCAGATTTTATTAATGGATTTATAATTAAATTTGATAATTTTTTTTTTTCTAAAAATTGTAAAATTACTCTTAGTAGAAATCCGCAGATTTACTCAATTAATTTTTTTTTGTAAAAATATTTTTTTTTTTCGAGTGCGCCCCGAATTGATAATTGCGGGTCCTACCAAATTATGTTGTACTAAATGGATAATATTTAACCCGAGTATTCCGTATCGGCGAAACCATCGTGCCACATAATAATAAAAAAAAAAATAATGAAATATCCTATTTAATTTTTTTTGTGGACTAAAACAAACAAATATGACAGAAAAATTTTTCTTGGCATTCATGAATGGAATGGATTATTTGGAGTGAAAATTTCCGATTGGCCTTCAAAATTCATCGGAAATTCCGTCTCAATTATGCATTCTCGCCAAAATGAAATATCCATATCCCTATTGCAAATCTCCGAACAGCATTAATTCGGCAAAATGATTCTTCCTTTAAAATAATAATGATAATTGTGTATAAAAAAGGCCTTTATTCCCGTTCCTTTTTCTTTTGGAAAATTTTTCTCTTTCTTTTTTTTTTTTTTTTTTTTGAAAATAAAAATTTTTTTTCTAAATTATGACAGAAGAAATCAATAACCCAGTTAATGAGTCGACAAC